GGACCTCATTGAATAAATGGGACCTCCTGAGACTGAGAAGCTTCTGTAAAGCAAAGGACACTGTCGCTAAGACACAAAGGCAACCCACTGACTGCGAGAAGATCTTCACCAACCCTGCAACTGACAAAGGTCTGATCTCCAAAATATATAAAGATCTCAAGAAACTAGACCGTAAAAGGCTAATCAACCCAATTATAAAATGGGGCACTGATCTGAACAGAGAATTCTCAACAGAAGAAGTCCAAATGGCCAAAAGACACTTAAGGTCATGCTCAACTTCCTTAGGGATCAGGGAAATGCAAATCAAGACAACTTTAAGATACCATCTTACACCTGTCAGAATGGCTAAAATAATAAACACCAAGGATAGCCTTTGCTGGAGAGGTTGTGGAGAAAGGGGTACACTCATCCATTGCTGGTGGGAATGCAAACTTGTGCAACCACTTTGGAAAGCAGTGTGGCGGTTTATCAGGAAATTCGGGATCAATTTACCCCTGGACCCAGCAATACCACTCTTGGGAATATACCCAAGTGAGGCCTTATCATACAACAAAAATATATGCTCTACTATGTTCACAGCAGCATTGTTTGTAATAGCCAGAACCTGGAAACAACCTAGATGCCCTTCAATAGAAGAATGGATGAAGAAAGTATGGAATATATACACATTAGAGTACTACTCAGCAGTAAAAAACAAGGGCTTCTTGAATTTTGCATGCGAATGGATGGAAATAGAAAACACTATCCTGAGTGAGGTAAGCCAGACCCAAAAAGAGGAATATGGGATGTACTCACTCATATTTGGTTTCTAGCCATAAACAAAGGACATTGGACCTATCGTTAGTGATCCTAGAGAAGCTAAATAAGGAGAACCCAAAGAAAAACATATAGGCATCCTCCTGAATATTAACCTTCATCAGGCCATGAAAGGAGACAGAGACAGAGACAGACACCCACATTGTGCACTGGACAGAAATCTCAAGGTCCAAATCAGGAGCAGAAGGAGAGATAGCACGAGAAAGGAACTCAGGACTGCAAGGGGTGCACCCACACACTAAGACAATGGGGATGTTCTATCTGGAACTCACCAAGGCCAGCTGGCCTCGGTCTGAAAAAGCCTGGGATAAAACCGTACTCGCTGAACATAGTGGACAATGAGGACTACTGAGAACTCAAGAACAATGGCAATGGGTTTCTGATCCTACTGCATGTACTGGCTTTGTAGGAGCCTAGGCAGTTTGGATGCTCACCTTACTAGAACTGGATGGATGTGGGGGTTCCTTGGACTTTCCACAGGGCAGGGAATCCTGATTGCTCTTCGGGCTGAGGAGGGAGGGGGACTTGATTGGGGGAGGGGGAGGGAAATGGGAGGCAGAGTCGGGGAAGAGACAGAAATCTTTAATAAAGAAATAAATTAAAAAAAGAAAAAAAATAAAGGCCAAGTCTATTGTCTGCTAGGGTTATTAAGTTGTAGACAGAGACTGCTCATTCATTTCTTGGCCATCTATACACCATTAATAACACAGAAACTATATCAATTACAACACTGGCCAATAGCTTAGGTATATTTTTAGCTAACTCTTACATCTTAAATTAACCCTTTTTTAAAAAATCTGTGTACTGCCACAAGGTTGTGGACTATTGGTAAGGTTTTGACTGGTGACTGGTCTCCTTCAAGAGCTGACTCTCTCTATATATCTCTTCCAGCTTGACTATGTTCTGCTCTACTACAGGCTGTAGCAGGTTCTTTATTAACCAATGGTTCATAAAACATATTCATAGCATACAGAGGGGAATCCTTCATCATGGAGTCTCTGTGGTAACCATGGAAAATCTACAGGAAATCCACTCATTATGCTAAGTGGAAATCGGGATAATCTCTCTTTCTGGTTTGGAATTTATCTATTTTTATCATTGTTTTGAGATGGGAGATCTCAATTCAGATGGGTTCTTTAGACTCCCTTCTTTAAGTATACTGTTCTGTGAGGACAAGATACTTAAAATCGTCACTGAACCTGTCACTTGACTGAGGATTTGTTAATGCCAAACATGGAAAAATTGTCCTCAGAAAGGAGAGAGGTGGGAATAGCCAGTAGGAAGCACGGCTATTATTGCTAAGAGGGCAATAGGCTCCTGAGGTTTAGCTCCTGCTAAAGTTGTTGTTGAGGGAGTACAGAAGGCTGAACAAGTATGAAGGATTTTGTGTTGTGCTAAACGTTAGGGAATGTGCTCTAAGCTATTTCCCCCATCCATCTGCTTAACACTTATGTTTGTGAATGGTCTGTGAGCAACCTGCAGGGTATGGCTCCTTTTGCTCAGAACTTTCTCCAGTGCCCACGTGAGGACAGGCACAAATAGAATCTTAAAATACATGAGATGGCTTAAATTTAAATGATTAGGTCACAAGTCTGTTTCCACATTGTAGGCATTTTACCAATTTACATGCATACACAGGGCAACTGTGAAAAGGAGAGAAATGAAGCTCCAGGGCTGTTCTCTAAGTGATGTGTGGCTTGAACTAACTTCAGATTTTAAAAAGAGTATAGTCAGCTCCCTTAGAATGCAAAATGTGAATTTGTAGAAAAATAAAGGGTTCATTCTACTGTAAAATTTGATAAGAAAGTCTCAAGGAATGACCAGAGCTGGGAGCACACTGTGTTTATAATGGACATCCATGACACATGGAAAAGTTATCAGAGGGCAACTGCAGTAAGGACAACTGCGCTATGTGAGCTTCCCTGTGCCTGTGTCTGTGCATGTGTATTTGTGCATGTGTATCCATGTCCTAGTGTGCAGGTGCATATGTATTCTGATACATGTCTGTGTGTCTGTGGAAGCCAGAGATGAACCAAGTATCATTTCGCGTGATACCGTGAACCTTCTCTTTTAAGACAGGGTCTCTCACTGGAGTGGAGCTCACAAAATAGGTTGTTTTACATGGCAAACAATCCCCAATGATTCATTTGTCTCTTCCTCCCCAGTGCTGATGTTCAGTAGGCAGGTTTTCACATGGGTGGTTGACTCAGGTCCTTAAGGTTGCATAGCAAACACTTCACAAATTGAGCTATGCTTCCAGTTGTATCTGAGGTTCTTATATCTCTTGATGACAAAAGGGTCATAAACAAATGTAATTTCTGCCTTGTATGTGTGTGTGTGTGTGTGTGTGTGTGTGTGTGTGTGTGTGCATGTGTAAGATATGTAAGAGAGATCGAGCCAGTGCTTTTTGGCATTAATGCATTTCTAGCCTGTGTTAGAGCAAAGCACTTGCATACCCCATGTTCGCCTGCTGTATGCCCCTAGCCCCAGAGCCAACAAGCTGCGTTGCTGTTTCTAATGTTTTCTTCTTCAGTTAAGATATGCCTCTGCTCCATTTTTTCTCAAACAATGTTGTAGCATTTGCATTTGGAGAAACCTGAAACACAGTTTACCAGGTGATTTTCAAACACACTTAACAAACAAGAATTTAATCCTCACTTTCTAATTATTTTTTTCCTGCAATTATCTGAAACGCAGCTTTGTAAGAAATGGCTGGATAAGCAAGCATGATCCTATGTAAATGTTCTTTTCAAATGTCAGTTCAGTTCCTCCCGAGAGCCTGCACACCAGGAAATTTACCTTGAGTGGCACATTTCAAATCTGTTTTGAATAAGGTTTGTCTAGATTTTGTGAATTCATTTCTCAATGTCCCAGAGAATCAATTGTGTTCAAAATGGAAAGATGGGAAAAGAATGTGGGCTTTGTAGGTTAGCTAATTGGTTGATTGATTGGTCCTTTCTTTTGTCTCTGTCAGTATCATTCAGCATCCCACTTTTTCCACATACATTTACTTGAGTTCTATTATGCAGTAGACTCCTTTCTAAGGACCTATGAAAACATGGACCATCTAGTGGAAGATTCAGAAAAATGCATCACTACTTACATCAATGATTAAGTTCCCTAACCTGTCTTGTGCTACTGTAACAGAATACCCAAGACAAGATCACTCATAAGGAACAGCTGGCTGTTCATTTCTGAAATTTGGGGAGTCTGATATGAAGGTGTCAGGATGTAGCAAGGCCAAATCTCTGAGTCACTAAGTGTCAGAAGGAAAGAGGCTGAGAAGTTGCAGTTCTGAAACACTAAATTCACAAGGAGGGTAGAGCCCTTATGACTTAATCACCACTTAAAGATCCTGCCTCTTAGTTTGGTTGCATGGTAATTAAATCTCAATGCTAGTTTTGGTGAGCCCAAATATCCAAATCAATTATGCATGTGGTATGTGCTGTGTGAAGACCAAGTCCCTCCATATGAAATCCAGTGACTATGGATTAGTGTGAACTTGAAAAGACATAACCATGTTGTCAAGACATGTCATTTGGTCTCATTGACCCAATGGACCCATGCTTATTTAGTATTCTCAAAGCAACCTTTGCTAGTATCTCAGCAGGGAAGACTAGAAAGTTAGCTATTGAAGTTGCTACCCAGCTCCAGATTGTGTAACATCTGTGACTACTCTTTTACTTCTTGTGACACAAGTGAGCTATTGGGTAAGCAGCATATTTCTCACCCACTCACCTATAAGCTGTAGCAAGAAATTCAAAACTATCCTATTGGGATGGACACATTTATTGCAAGGGTCCTTGGAGACAGAGCTGGGAGAATAAACAACACCCTCCTGTAAGAATCTCCCTTATGGACTAAACGCACACATGTTGTAAAAGGCTTTGCACAAATGCTCAGCTGAAGTTATGCATAGGGAGCTGGGCTTTTGACGCAAAGAAATCTTCCTGTTTTGGTTATGCCACTCTCTAGAGTTGTGAACTTGAACCCCTCCAGCCTCCATTTCCTCCATCCATGCAAGGAAGCCATACCATATTTGAGTGCTATGAGAAACAACCACAATAATAACACACACTGCAGAATATTCCCCAACCCTTTCCAGCACAGATGGCTAATAAATGAGAAGTCCTATTTTTCTTGCCAATAGAGTCTGACCTCTTCTTCTCTCCCTATCTTTTTAGACAACTGTGATGATCCATTGGGCTCCTTCCTCTCACCAATGGCTTTCTCCAGCTCCTCAGATCTCACTGGAAGTTCCAGTCCAGCTCAATTGAACTGGAGAATGGGTAAGTATAGGGACTCTGCCCTAAATCCATGTGTTAGGATGAGGACATGGTGAGTACTAAGAAGAGGAGAGATATTGTGTCTGTCTGTTCTGGGGTCACATCCAAAGTCACAGTCCAGAAGGAAATCTACAAGGTTAAGTCTATAACAAAAATACTTCCCATCATGTAATGGATAGTAATGTGCACTGAATCTTGTTCCTCCAACCCAAAGATCCACCAAGGAATTTTTGGAGGTGATAACCCTGGAACCCATGACTTCAGGCATGTCAGGGAAGTACTCTCTCATGGAAACACATAGCCATCCTGTGGAATATTTTGTAGATTTTTATGTGTACGTGCATGTGTATATACAGACAACATATGCGTATATATACAGACACACATATGTTCAACATATCCTAGGGGGGGGACAGAAGACAACCTTAAGAAATCTGCGACATTAAGTCTATAACAAAAATGCTTCCCATCATTTCATAGAGCTAATGCACACTGAATCACGTTTCTCCAATCCAAAGATCCACTAAGGAATTCTTTGGGTTTTGTTTTGTGTTTCTGGAGGTGTTAACCCTGGAATCCATGTCAGGAAAATTCTCTCTCTTGGAAGCACATAGTCATGCCATCCTGTGGAATTCTTTTTGTAGATTCTTATGTGTGCATGAATGTGTACATACAAACAACATATGAGTATATATGCAGTCATACATGTATTTAGTGTGTGCTGGGGAGGAACAGAAGACAACCTTGGGTGAAGTTTCTTACATGTCATCTACTCTTTTATAAGACTGAAGCTTGAAGGCTAGGCTGCCTGGCTTTCTCCTTCTGCCTGATTACAAACATGCACTACCATGCCTATTATTTTTAAAATAGATCTGTGGGATCGAACTCAGGTCCTCATGCTTGTATGTAATCATTTTATCCACGCAGCCATCCACAACCTTGTGAATTCCTTTTTTTGGTCATCATAAAAGTATTGGAGAAAAAGATTACATTTTTAAAAATATTTGTTTTATTATGTACACTTCATATGTCAGCATAAATGGTCACAAAACATGCCCATGATAATTTAATTGAATGTTTTTTAAAATATTTCAATACATTTAGTTCTATTGTGAGATTAATAGTACTGTTTTAAAGTATATATTAAATGTGCTGAATTAAAGGTAAGAAAATAAATAATTTGTAACATTGCCATATATAGAGGGTACTGTGGGTTATTACTTGGTCTGGTAAAAATAGAGCAGTTACACTTAACTTATAACTAATGCAAATTGAACTTAATCAATATGATGTTGGATATTTACCTATATTTTAATCATATTTTGATATTGATTTTGTGATATATAGAAATAAATATAGAGAATAGGTAATTTCTTTTTTAAAGACCTTAGCTTGAAAAATTCTAAAAGCTGATTGTTATTATAAAATTTTCCTTGGTTTAAAAATAGTTGAATGTGCCGGGCGATGGTGGTGCACGCCTTTAATCTCAGCACTTGGGAGGCAGAGGCAGGCGGATCTCTGTGAGTTCGAGACCAGCCTGGTCTACAGAGCTAGTTCCAGGACAGGCTCCAAAGCCACAGAGAAACCCTGTCTCGAAAAACCAAAAAAAAAAAAAAAAAAGTTGAATCCTAGGGCTGATGGGTGATGGGAGATGGTTCAGTGGGTAAAGCACTTACCTCCCAAGCATTAGGACAAAAGTTCAGGTTCCTAGAACCCATGTAAACATCAGGAGGGTGTGGCAGCTGCCTGAATGCAGTCATAGCATTCACAAGTTAAAGACAGGCCATGCCTAGAGCAAGGCTGGCTAGCAAGACTAGTTAAATGCGGTCCAGCACGTGAGTTAGAGAGCAGTGGGTAACACCTCCTACAGTTCATTTTCTATTCCTGTGATAAAACAGTTGAACCAAAAGCAGCTTAGAGAAGAAGAGGTTATTCAAGCTTCCTGGTTGTAGTTCATCCCTGAAGGAGGCCTGGGCAGGAACTGAAGCAGGAATCTGAGGACAGGCCTTTATTACCTCTGACCTAAGATTTCACTCACCACCAAGGAAACTGCGGAGGGTCAGGATGATCCTTGATGATTTACTTGCAAGTTCATGCCTAGAAAGCTTTTAATACAGTCTAGGACTACTGGTCTAGTAGATGATGCTGTCCACAGTGTAAATCTACTAACAATCAAGACAGTCCCCTTATACATTCCAGAGAGAGAGAGAGAGAGAGAGAGAGAGAGAGAGAGAGAGAGAGAGATAAAGAGAGAGAGAACTAGAGAGAGAACTAGAGAGAGAGAACTGGTGTGTGGCTTCCAGGGCCAGTGTGATCATTCTTCCCCTATGTGATATTCCTTTGCTCCGTCATTTTCTCAGGCACTATATGGTCAATCACTCAAGAATCATTTCTTAGGTGACTCAAGGCTATGTCAATGTCAAGTTGATGGTTAAAACTATCTAGGGCATTACAGATGTCAACTTTGGGCCTTCTTACACATAAACAAGGACATGTACACCAACATATATTCAAATACACACTCACCATACACACAAATTTATATAGAAATTTTGTATGTAAGTGCAGCTTGTCCATTGGCCTTTTCTCATTCACTCCAACTCCTCTTAACTGTCTATATATTAAGCAGACTATCTCACATGTTTCTATTTTGATGTTTCTTACATTCTGGAATACGTTTTAGTTGGTTATCTAATTATTAATATTTTAACCCTTGATCGATTTAATTTGTTAACACTTTATGATTTTGAATCTCCATCAGTTCTGATTTATAGGTCTGTTTATACTGTTGTATTTTATTTTATGCTGTGTATTATAAGCATGTAGTTATAATGGTTATCAATAGCCAATAAGTCAGAGTCATTAATGATTTGAAAAAGCCATCTAAGAATGCAGATATCTCTCCCTATTCATTGGGTGGAAACAACAGAAAATTTGCTTATATACTGAATATGAATGTTTTCTTGTCATTTTCCCTAAACAAAACTGTACAGCAGATATTTAGTTAGCATTTACAATATATTAGATGTTGCAGAGAATCACTATTTAGTCATTTTATATCAAAGACTTAACCATCTATGGGTGTTATGCAGAAGATTCTGAAGCCCTTGTGGATGGCAGAGCACTGTACTAATCTAAAAGGAAAATAAAACATTCCATCATTCATTGTCTGTTCTAATTCTGATCTTTGACTAATCTGATAAGTAGCAAATTTTATTAATTATTTTATGTACATTATCATATTAGCCCCAAACTATTATATGGTATTAACTATAACCTTTTCCCACCAAATAGAGTTGCTGAACTTCAGGGAAATGGCATAGTTTGCCCGATATCACAGAGCAGGGAAAGGAGGAAAAAACTTGATTTCAAACCAAACTCAAATGAATTCAGAATACATACTGACTGCTGCTGTAATAATAGCTTGATTCTTTAGCAAAGCTGGGAGAGGGGTTGTCCAGGAAGAAGAATGGCTTGGAACCTAACCAGTCAGCACTCACATGCCAGCTTTGACACTGTGGTGTTCCATGGGTATCAGCAAGCCACTTGTGAAGATTGCATTTATATCTTTGGCATCTCTGAATGATGCCTTACAGTATTATTTGGAGAACCAGGCTATAGACTCACATTGAGAAAAGCTTCGCTACTGTAGAACAGAAAGCTGGGAGTCAAACAAGGAGACCCCATTTTTATTTCAGGAAGAAACACAGATTGAGACATTTTAATACAGTCTCTAGAAGCGCTTCAAAGACAATTAGCCTCATCTCTACTCAAAGTGTGTGGGGCCAGGTCAGCACTGTCTAGGAACACCTTATCCACTTGTGGGGAAAAGCGGGTTCATTGAACCTCTCTATGAAACAGATATTGACTGGAGACAATGTCTCTGCAATGAATAATTACACCTGTCATTTTCTGGCAGGGTGGGGATCCTGGGCACCTCTACCTCAGACCAGTGTGTGTGAGAGGAGACTGAAGTCTCCTTTTGTTGGACTCTAAACTGAGGAGACTAAACAGAAGTTTCATTCATGAAGCTGGAATGGAGAGAACAGAGTGAGCAACGGACTGGCACCACTCTCCATTCACAGAGCCACATCCTCCCTTAGGGATGGTCAAAGCCAGGCTCTAGGGAAATTGGCACCCTGGCTCTCCTCTGTCTGAACCACCTGGGCACCTTTGCCAGTGACATTGTCCAACCCATAACCCAGATGTTTTGCATGGTTATTGATCAAATAAATACACAAAAAGTTTCCAAGAGATTTTAAAATGCAACCAGAGTTACAAGCTAAGGATGTGGGGCCAATTAATGACCAGCCAATGCTTCTGTGACTTTAAGAGTACCTCTTATGTGTTAGGGACTATGCTAGATGCTTAATGTATGATTGGCTTGGGCAGGTAGGAATATGATTTATAAAGAGTTGATGGGTTGAGGAGATGACTCAGTTGTCTGAGTACTTGCTTCACATCATGAGGACCTGAGTCCATAAGCAATATCAAACTCCTGACCTGGTAGTGTACATAGTAACCCAAGCATTGTGAGGAGTACATGGAATCAGGAAGATTCCCTGGGTCTTGCTGGCCATCTAGTCTAGTCAAACCAGTGTGCTCCTGGTTTAGCGAGAGACCCTGACTCAAAAGAACAAAAGAACATAGTGAAGGGGCAGGAAAGCTGGCTTAGTGGTTTAAAAGAGCTTTCTTGCTCTTCCTGGGGAGCTGAGGTTGGTTCCCAGCTGTCATAATGGGTGGCTCACAACTCCAGCTTCAGGAGCTATGATGCCCTCTTCTGGCCTCCACGGGCCTTCCACTCACATGCAGATATCTGCATGTAGGCACACCCATGCATACACATATCCACAAATAAAAAATAATAAAAATAGATACGTTTAAAAATTAGTTTTTTGGGCAGAGTGGATGGCAGTGGGCTGGGAGGGAAGCAAGGGGGTGGGAATAGAGGTAGAAGTGAAACTGTGGTTGGAATGTAAAATAAAATAAAAAAATTAGTTTGC